CATCACTGTAGGGAATAGAACCATGACAACGATGCTTTCGAGTCTAGAAATAGGTGCTGAAGTGGGTGGGGATATTTTTTCCAAGATGGCAGCTTTCGTTCCTTGTAGAGTTTATGTATATACGCGTAGTACGTTTTTTTAAACATGTTATTTCTTGTCTGAGCGTGTCAGAATCTTTATTGTAACAACTTTAAAAGTATTATAGCTAGATTCAAAATTTTATTAATTTATTTTACATTCAACAATTTGGAGGACAAACCCCTATGTTGTCAAACACTCGGTAGCGACAAAAATAACTGTGTACTTCTTCCACAGCAGGAGAAAAAGATACCAAAGAAACTTACAACAGCTGCATAGGTCATTACAGTATAAAAACAAACACAAATACGTGTAAACTACAATAAAATGTAAACAAAGGTATGGTGAAATACATGTAACCAGCACGAACACGTGTCCTTCATTCCACGCAGGTACCTGTGACAAGAAAGCAGTCAGGTGTAACGAATGCAAAAAATATACCCCAGATCTTATATCGGAAATAGTAAAACGAATATGGCGTATGCCTATTTATGAGTCCTGTTCAGCTTTAAGCTGTAGGAGTTTTGATTTTTATTTCAAAAGCCCTGGTTTCGTAAATCATATATTACAAATATTTGCTGGTATTTCAGTACATAATGATAATTCTATTTACCTTCTGTTTTCAGTTGTTACATACATAAACCCCTTAATTATTTGTCTTTGGTCAGTTAGACCATGTTTTGACATTTCACATGCTTTACTTTTGAAACAGGAAGTGTCATCTTTCGGTTGTACTTTTGAAAGCTGTGTTTTGATTGGTTAAGAGCCATAGGATCTTCGGTATTTAATGGCTTTTATATTTAGGGATAGCTATGGTATTTAGAGCTGTATTCATGTAATATTCTTCAACTGGGTTAGGGAATATACCTCATGTTTAGTTCCTCTTTACTAGTACTGTGCCTGTGCCAAGAAAACCTCAAGGTTTATCAGCAATATTTAGTTGCTATCTTTTTATAGTGCTTAAAAAACCTCATGGCAACACATTATGTCTTAGATAGCATTAGATGCACGTTTTTCACACTTTCTAGGTTTTTGAGAGCGTTAGAAATGTGCTTGGATGTAGATTTTAATTTCTCTTTCCAAGTCCAGCCTTGTGGAAGGATATGTAGTTAAAAATTCGAATTTCTGGAAGCACTATTCACTATTTATTCCTTTCAATTTTGGTGTTGTTTATTTTTAAAATCAAATTTTGTTATCATTTACAAAGATTAATTCTCACTTTATTAAATTAATAAAACTTTAAACAGTGTTTCCTTTTAACATTGATCATAATTATGAAATTCCCTTACCTGAGTCGATCACTTATAACTGGAGGTAATTATCACTTTAAGGACATTGGCAACGCAAGGTTTTTCCGGAGAAAAAAAGGTTTAATACTTAGGTTCTTTCACTTATAAAATAGTGATGGAGAGTGATCTCCCGTGTAGAATTCTCTACGCGGTGAAACCAATAAAGAGTATGTTACAGAGGTAAACAAATACACGTGTGCTTCAACGGTAGAATTATCTATAAGGCAAGAAAGGAAAGTAGTGATGGCTTTGTTGTACAAGTTTGCTGGTAACTTTAATAATCTATTTACAGAAAAGGTCTACTTCCGGTTACAATTCATTGAATTCTTCGTCGGTCGTATAAAAGCACATGACCATGCAGACCAAATTGAATACCACTCGTAAGCACGGTGTGATAATCTGACAGAGCACAGACACGTGCTGTTATACCGACGACATCCAAAAAATAAGAATTTAATACTTATATTTACATTCTCTACCTTAGTCTTCATAAATGTTAATTTTATTAATTTTTATTATGAATTTAGCGCCTTTTAGAACTGGTGCACATGGTTATATTTACATTTCCAAATATTTTTTCCTTAAGATTCTTTGCAAATTAGGAAAAGTTCATGTTCTTATGAACTACCGTGGGATGTGACTGAAGTAAAAAAAAAGTGCAAACTTTTTTTTTCAAAAAATGATCGTTGAATGACAAAAATATGTGGCAAGTCATCAGCAAAATAATGTTAATATAAGATATAAGTTTAATTTTTGAAAATTCATGAGGTACATGACCTACAACGCTTCACGTCTGTATATTTATCATGGCGATTCATGAAATATGCCGGCGTGAAGCGTCGTAGTTCATGTCCTCATGAATTCTCAAAAATTAAATTCATCTCTTAAAATAGACGTAAAAGCTCTTTTGACGTGGAAAGTTAAATAAAGCAAAACAAATATTGTGAGGGGTTAAAAAATATGACAATATAATTTTAAACGTACAGTTTTTATATTTTTACAACAGTTTAATAGTGTAATTGTTATTAGGTAAATTGAGCCAAAACAATATACATTTTTGGTGTTCCTGGTATATTGAAAGTGACTGTATATAGTTACTATTGCGTGTTCTACTGCGCCGTGACAAGGTTTCGTGTATTTCATAGGGGATTGAATGTTGTAGATTTCCAATGGATTTCATAAAGATAAAATTTTACCTAATAATTTCTGGATATGTTTGAGAATACAGCTGTGTATATAACATACACAATTCCCTAATTTCAGATTTCATTTACTTTAGAAAAATTCACAGTCTTCTTCTTTCCTTTTAAAACTTAAAATAGTAAAATTGTAACCTTGATATATTGAAGTAGAATCAGATATTCATTCCTATTCTGTCTACATGCATATCCATGTCTATGAGCAATCTTTTTTTCATCCTAAATGACGTGCAGCAACTATAGAACAAACCTCGTGCACAAGGGTCAAGTGTACTGGATAATTGTTTTTAACAATGCCACTTAGGAAGAACCCAATGAACATCAAATCCTGCATGATAAACACTACAGACAATATTAAGCACAAAAACTCAGTAGATAATATATCAGACTTTAATAGCAAATAGAGCTATTTCAATAAAATATCAAGGCTCTGATAAAATGGTCAACAAAACATTTCAGTAAAGTAAAACGAATAATTTCCATTAAACAACCTTTTTTCATATATCACCACCTGAAAAAAACCCCTGAAAAATAATAATGTCCATTTTACTTCGGTAAGATTACTTTGCATTTTCAGGTTTGGATTTACAATAATCAAAAGTACAATACTCATGGCAACATCAAAAAACTATCACTTTTTTTTTCAAAACACACAACCAGACCATTTTTTGTGTTGTTTTCCCCATTTTTAAAGAATCTGAATCTACTTCATTTGTTCATTTCATTTTTGAAAAAACGTGGCCTGTATGACCGTTTCTTTAAAGTAAAGAACCTGTTATATCGAAGCATTTCATCCCTTTTCCAACAAGAGGCCCATGGGCCACAACGCTCACCTGAGTAACTTTGGCCTTGCTGTTTTTCACCTGATTTCTCCCCCCCCCCCGTAGTACTTATTGTGGCCCCGCCCTATCCCCAAGGGTCATGATTTGAACAATTGGAATCTACACTACCCCAGCATGCTTCTAAGTAAGTTTCAGCTTATCTGGCCCAGTGGTTCTTGAGAAGATTTTTAAAGATTTTTCTTATATATTTCAATGTGAAAATTGGATTCCCTATTGTGGCCCCGCCCTACCCCTGGGGGTCATGATTTGAACAATTTAGAATCTACACTTCCCCAGCATGCTTCCACATAAGTTTCAGCTTTTCTGGCCCAGTGGTTCTTGAGAAGAAGATTTTTAAAGATTTTTCCTATATATTTCAATGTAAAACTTGGATTCCCTATTGTGGCCCCGCCCTACCCCCGGGGGATCATGATTTGAACAATTTAGAATCTACACTACCCCAGCATGCTTCCACAAAAGTATCAGCTTTTCTGGCCCAGTGGTTCTTGAGAAGAAGATTTTTAAAGATTTTTCCTATATATTTCAATGTAAAACTTGGATTCCCTATTGTGACCCCGCCCTACCCCCGGGGGTCATGATTTGAACAATTTAGAATCTACACTACCCAGCATGCTTCCACATAAGTTTCAGCTTTTCAGGTCCAGTGGTTCTTGAGAAAAAGATTTTTAAAGATTTTTCCTATATATTTCAATGTAAAACTTGGATTCCCTATTGTGGCCCCGCCCTACCCCCGGGGGATCATGATTTGAACAATTTAGAATCTACACTACCCCAGCATGCTTCCACATAAGTTTCAGCTTTTCTGGCCCAGTGGTTCTTGAGAAGAAGATTTTTAAAGATTTTTCCTATATATTTCAATGTAAAACTTGGATTCCCTATTGTGGCCCCGCCCTACCCCCGGGGGTCATGATTTGAACAATTTAGAATCTACACTACCCCAGCATGCTTCCACATAAGTTTCAGCTTTTCTGGCCCAGTGGTTCTTGAGAAGAAGATTTTTTAATGACCCCACCCAATTTTTGTATTTTCTTGATTATCTCCCCTTTGAAGGGAACTTGGCCCTTCATTTTTACAATTTAAACTCCCCTTTACATAAGGTTGCTTTGTACCAAGTTTGGTTAAAATTGGCCCAGTGGTTCTTGAGAAGCAGTCAAAAATGTGAAAAGTTTACAGACGGACGGACAGACGAACAGACGGACGGACGACGGACAACGGGTGATCAGAAAAGCTCACTTGAGCTTTCAGCTCAGGTGAGCTAAAAATGATATAGATTTAAGTATCTTCGTCTCTAAATCTATTTGCACTGTTTCTGAAAATATGACGAATAGCTATAACTATCTTAATAACCTCTCCCAAGTTTCTCCCAAAAACCTTAAGCCGAGAAAATATTTGTTTGGTACTAACACTTTTTCATTCTAGAAATATCCTGAAGGTAAAGTTCTGACTTCAAAGAATTGAAAAGTATTCTCAAAGACAACGAAATAGAATCGTCAAAAAATCAGGTAGAGGAGCATTTCCGCAGAATGAAATAAACTTTGTTGGAAATGAGCCTTCTGATCTATCATGAACATCTATCATGATCTTCTATTATGAACACACTTCAGACGGCAAACGGGTCACACAGACATAGATACTCTGCCGTTTACAATCGCTTTAAGTATATTTGGACGGACTGTCTCCTTCTTTGTTTTTCCATCTTGTTCATGTAAGTTACGGTATCATGGAGTCGTTCTCTGTACATGGCCTTGTTCTCCAGTATCTCCAATAAGAGCCACCGCTGATGTTTCGGAACTATTACTATCCCTCATGTTATTGCCCACCGACCTCTCTACCACGATCTCCTGCAAAGGTATACTGTCTACCGTTCGTAAAGTTACATTTGAGGATGCAACATAGTTTTCAGAATCTGACTGAATTGTTTGTTGAGGAATAAACTCATGCATGCCGTTACGAAGAAAATTTAAATGTGGGATGTTTTCTTTTGTCATCTCTTTTCTGTTTGTGTTGAGTTTCTCATCATCAACGGTACACAAATTCTTGTTGTCATAGCGACGGAGGTACCCGAGATTATTTCTAGTTGTCAGGTGTGATTGACATACTCTTTGGATGCCATGCACATTTTCCGTGTTTTCAAACTCATTTGTTGTTTTGCAGAAAGATCTAACCAGTCTTTGAATAGTTGCTAAAATCAACCACACATTTATCACAGAGAAAAAAATAATACTCAGAAAAAATACCGTTAAAGTAGTGTAGTGCATCACAAAAGGAGTCTCATGAAACATTGCAATAACCAAGAACACGACAGGTACGATACCACGGAACACTAAAGTCAAAGCACAATTCAAGAAAGACAACTTAGAGTACAGTTTTGTCCTATTCTTGCCCAATTCTTTAAGTATTTTTGAAAGTTCAATAACCGTCGAATTGGTCTCCATCGTCATCCCTACCAATGACAGTAGTAAATTCTGGTGGTATGCTAAGAATACAGAATAACAAACGACAGTGACCACGTGATGCATTGTATCCGTTTTTATCCGGGAAGGCTCACTTTCTCCGTACAGGTATATATTTACCGAAATGAGGTAGATATATCGTCCTATATTTATTGCTAAAAGAATGCCCACTAAGTCGTTGACTGTTGAACTAGGATTTTTACTAAATGGGTATCGTATCACATCTGATCCGCAAAGAGCCCCAAAGCTAAGGATGACGACAATCCACATAAATAACTGCTCCGTCAATCTGAAAAAAAAAATGTCAAATATATTAAACTTTTAAAGTTTGATTGTTCAATCTAAGCAATCATTTATAATGGAGATTTATTTTGAACCTAATCTTACTGACCAAGCATCGGAATATGAAATATGGAGATAACGAACAGTATTCAAGCTCAAAGTCCATTAAAACAATACGAATCGGGAGCAGAGCAAACACAGGTCTCCAAAAACATCAGAGGTGGAATAAGGTGCCATTGAGGAGTGAGCATCCCCTGCCGACCTGTCACATCCGCCATATGTGCTCCTTGTCATAATCGCTAAATAACGGAAAAATCCGTCGACAATTTCAGTGTGTAAATAATGGCCTTACAATTAGTATGAAAAACGTCAGTCAGCATATGACTTAATGATAGATTGTATTTGCTGAAGTGAAGAGTGCGTAGCGCGATCTCTGGTAAGAGATTAAAGTGATCGGTCGAAGCCGATCAATATCAGAATACTCAAAAGTACCAGTAGACATGCTGATTTATGGAGAGTGTCCCTTTTACATGAAACACATAATCACAAAAGGAAGATTTAAAAGTGTTAAAGGCTTAATTAATGACATCTAACAAAAAAAAAAATCAAAAAATTTAAATGAAATTAAATTAGAAAGCAGTAGTGTAAAAATTATCAGATTTACAGTAATGGGATTTTATGCCATGGTCCAAATTAAACAGGGCCCGAATTAAACGGACATCCCCGGAAGCAAAGAAACGTTTATGCAGACGGGGGGGGGGGGCTTATGAAAATTGTAGTACAATTATCGGTCAGTTGTAAAACATGGAAGAAATTGCATTACCATTCCTGTTTATTTATTTAAAAAATTCTTAGTTGACTTTTCCTACGTTTTTTAACGTTTGTGTTATCTCAACGGCGGTTGAGAATACGTACCATATTTTTACGCGTAAATTTAATTTGACGGTGCTGCTGTCAGCATATCCGGCTATTGCTTTTCGAGCAATGAGCCAAGCTAAAAGTAACGTCCATGTTTACACCGTGATATACTGTACGACTTATTGAAATGTGAAGTAAAATGAGGAGATTGTTTTTGATATGTCTATTTTCAAAGACATAATCTTAATTACAAAAAACCATGGCCCAGACGTCACGACACAGAGATAAACTCATGCATTATTGTCTTTTGAATGTCATCCGGAAGTTCTATTCAACGACGAATCTATATTAATATCAAAACTGTCTACGAGTTCCATTAGATTACCCAAAAATGCACAGAAGAGTCTTACTGTTCATTACATTGTTAAAAAAATGTAGCAATTAATTTGCGAGAATAACCCTTTCTTCCAGTGAGAATAATCGTGTTAATGATCTAGAGTAAACGTGAACCCGGAAACACGGCTCCGCTATAGACATATCGATCGCTGTCTTTTGTGTTTCAATGTTGTGCGTCAACAGTGCAAGGCTAATCCTGAAGGGTTTAGTCAGTATATATATATATCCATCCTTATTAAATTCAGAAAGTACTGATACGTTCTTTATTTCTCTTCCTTCGAGTAGCTCAAAGGAAGCACGATATGACCGATTTCGTGATAAACACCGGAAGTCCTCAAAGTCTGTGATAAAAGTGTTTTCCTCCAAGCATTGTGCGTTATTTTGTGACTGAAATTGCTAATGTTATGCATTGTTCTTTTTTCCCTCGACCAGATATTTGTAGAGTCTCCCGTCGCTGGGTAATACAATTTCATATCGTATGAAATTTTTAACACCCAATCATACATGTTTAATATTTCTCCTAGCTTGATTTTATCTTTAGTTAGCCGTGCTTAGAGAATGAAAGCACAGAGTGCACCCCTCGGAATTGAAATTTTTCAACATTTGAATAAATAAAAAATTAAACATTAATTGCAGATAGAAATTTTAGGGTTCTAAACAGACATTTATGTATATTCTAGAGAATCCGGACACCTATTTCTACCTGTAACTAATCAAAAGAGAAGATGTGATACAATGTAGGGACAGGTACACCATGGGAAATGTGTTTATCAAGTGGTGCTTTGCTTTGTTCGGGGGTGGGGGTGAGGTGGTTGGGGGCATTATTAATCTAATCAATCGTTCACTAATAAGTTTTACCTTCATATTCAAAAGTACAATTTTGTGTGAACCTTTTTAATCTGGAAAACGTTAAACCTGAGCCACTATATTCTTTACTGAGATGAAGTTTTGTCTGATAAAACGTTTTACAGCATTAAATATTTGACATTTCCTCAAACCTTAAAGTGTCTTTATCGTTGTTAACATAGCAAGCTTTTACACCAAATCATTATACTTGTTATTTATCAGTACTCATATGAAGTCAGCTGATCAGTAAGGGTTTATAAATACCACTTGTAGACTGCTCTCAAGTAATTGTAAACCAAAAGGTTCAAACTTCATATAAACTTTCTGTATAAACTTGAAGTTCTTATGGAAATAAACAAGGTATACAATATTACAATACTAAAAGAGCATGTTGGTAAAGAGAGTTGTCGGGAATGTCGTAAAAATTACACAGAAACTGTCTCTTGAAGAGAGTTTTTGTTGGGCGATTTGTTTATAGCTTGTATTATTTTTGTCGACTCTATTTTAGCATTTATTACACGTTTTGGTATGCAATCTCTTCTTTGATATGCCCTTTTCTAGCAATGTCTGGAACTTGCAAATATCAGAATCACCATATAACATGACATAAATTTTATATGACAATTATTTTTCCATAAAGTGTATGCACATGATAAGATATCCCTAATTTTACACAGAAATGTTTAAGATTCTGTTACCAGAAAAACAAGGAAATTTTTCCTTTGTTCGTTTGTTTTGTGGTTTTCGAGTTGGTGACTCATGTTTCTTTATCGCCATCTTTTTCCGAAAAAAGCAAACAAAACTAAACGACTTATCTGTTGACTTTCTGAAATTTAAATTCTCTTCTTATTTAGGAAGCTCTAAAGATCACTTTATCTGGAAGTCTGACAAGGAAGTGTTTCCAATTGACAATGAATTTAAATTGTGTTCTTGTTACACAGCAGAAAGGTCGCCAACACCTAATTTTCTTCTCAAATCACCTCAGTTGAATTTTACCGTTAATTCATCCAAACCCCAACAGTTAAAGAGCAAGCCACTTTGCACAGAGTACCCCAGTTTATCAAAACCATCCCTTTTCCCCCCAAATCTCTGTTAGAGTTTGTGTTTTCTATTTCCGTAATTCTCTGTTATATTTTTAAAGGCCGACAGATTACTGATAAGTTATTATATATACATTATATATAATGTTATATCTACATCAAATGACTCACTTAATTATTTCTCACGGGAAAGAGAAAAAAATATTTTTACAGCATTTATTTTTTAAGGTTGTAACTTATCTTAGAATTACGGTATCTAAATGTTATTTAATGGAGGCACTGCTGTTATCAAAATTCACTTCAATCCTTTGCAGAGAAGAGTGTTAAATTGGCGGGTAGAGCTGGGTAGATATTAGGTAGAGATTGATTTCTGTACACGGAAGTGCTCGTGTCCGGTGTGATGACGCAAATCTTTTTAAAAATGGATATCATATATACAGCAACGATGAAATCAATACTGTCAACCATTATACTATCGAAAGACAAACTAAAAATAGAATCATTCTGAGATATTTAAAAAGAAAACTGAAGCTAAAGAAAAAAACCCCCAAAAAGCAATGCCTTAAATATCATTAAACAGTTTAAGAAGTTAAAATTCAACATTTCATTAAACGGCCGTGGTTAAAAAAGAAAAAAAAATGTTTATGAAGGATGACATACAAAATAAAATTGTAAAATAGCCAATAATAAAAACCCACTATTCACACCTAATCATGAACTTCAGTAGTTTTCACGCGGTTCAGAAGCGCAAAGGTGTCGCCCATCATAGTGAAACAATTTAGAGGCGCCGTTTTTGAGTCCTAACCATTAGCAACAATTTACGCAAGACAACCTGGTTGCCAGGAAGTATCAATGTTCAACTAAAGAAAAGTTACATGATATATTGTCGAGAATTGAACGATTTATCTATTATTTTACAAAAATTCTATGATCAATATATATGTATTGGGGATTTTTTTCTTCCTACCTATCATCAAGACTTCCCAGTATCGCCTCTGATAAAGATAAAAACCCTAATGTTTCCAACTCGGAATAAAACCTCTCGGTGTAGTATACAAGTGCACAAAAGTGCATTAGTGCAATATGCAGTTTGCAGTAGCATGTCAAATTTCAAACAGCGAAAACAATTAATTCATCCTGTCAAGCGAACTGATATTCCTGACGTTAAGTTTACATTGAAACACATATGAATTCCCCTATCACTTACGTATATAATTCAAACGATTGATCGTTATCGATATAGATATTGTTTTCCCCTCGTATCTGAATTTTATCTAAGTGGATTTAATCACCTTTTTCCCACAAACTAAAATATTTCACTTCAAATTTTCATTTGGGCTTCCTCATCGATTGGTCACAGCTTCATGTTTCTAAAAGGAGACAACAGGTTTGGGAAAGGGGAGAACCTGTTAAAAACTTGATATCCTAATGGGGGTGGAGTCACACTCGCACTGTCTTACTTTACTTTTTTCCCCATAGTATTAACACAGGGGCCCGCATCACCACTCTCTTCCCCCTCCATTAATATCGGCTCTAATGTCATCATTTAAGGGACTATTTTGAACGACAGAATCGGTTTCCACCACGACTGACAAATTATTATTTGTAAGACCTAATCATCCTCACAGCGTCAAGGTTCCTGAGTCCACACATGGTACCACATGTGGACTCCAAGACTCCTGACGCTGTGAGGATTGACCTAACTTTACTTAACGTTTTCGTAAATTGCATTGCCAGTGTTTTTTTTTTTTTTTTTTTTTTTTTTTTTAGAAATTTAGTTGGTGAAAATTTTACGTACAACTTGCCGTAATCCCCTGTACAATAGGGGAAAATAAATGTTCTTAATTTGCCTTTGGAAAAAGAAATTCTATGTGTGATTTAATTTATCATATCTAAAAGGATATCCTATTACGTACTTCACGAGAGCAACTAGTAAAAACAATCCAAAGACAAGTTACTGAATAAATTAAGAAGAACAGGATTTTATAACGATAATATCAAAAAATTAATATATACGGCATGCATTGATAATACCCTAAACATCAGAATAACTGGAAAATGCTCATACAGTCTCTGTTTAAAATACTCACACTTTTGGAAGGTAATGGGGTTTTGAATTATACGTCTGGCACACTGCAACTATTGTTCCACATTTTTCGCAGCAACATTTTGAAGACAATCTTCTTTGAATTCTCGTGAAAAGACAGTAACATAATATACAACAGTTAACAGTAAGGGAGACAGCAAGAATCTCAAAAGATTTGAACATGACGTTATCCCGGAGAGTAGTCAAGAGATCTGTCAAGCAGCTCTGCAACATTGAAAAGAAACGGTAAAGCTTCCGGTCACCTGTTCCGAGCTAGATCATATCAAAACTTCCTTATCTTGTAGAATTCCTCTTATTACTTCCTTACTTGCACTTTAGACATGTCTTCTTTTGGATTCTTTAAAAAAAAGTACGTTTACTGTGAGATAACGAGCCCCCCTTCTGAAAGAATACACATGGCATATCATCAAAGACCCATTCTAATACTAGCTATGTAAATATCGATTCATTTTCCGTACTAACCAATAGCTGAAAAGATACACTTCCTTGTTCTAAATATAGATTGTAAATAGGCCTGCGATTTATGTAGGTGGGATTAGAAAATTACTGAACACAAGCAAATTTCACAGCAATTAAGAAAATGACCAACTTGAGTGCACTTTATCCCAGATTGGATGCTGTTTATTTGATTACAGATAATCCATGGTACTCAATTTGGTGGATCGTTGATAACACATAACGCGGCTCATATCAAATGGGAAGTTTAAATCAATCCCCTGTTCAGCATTGAAACACAATCTTCTGTATATAACATTCTGTTATGTATACTCCGTCAAGTTACTCATTGCTTGAGTAAAGATTGTAAATCCTCAATCGATCACACAGTAATGCTTATGGGAGATGGATCGTTGATAGTAAACTGGCGTGTATAAATGATCACTATGTTCTCTCTAAAGAAGTAAATTATTTGTCTTATCAGTAATTCATAGAAAAAAAATAGTGACATCCGATTCCCAGAAAAGTGTATACTACTTAGGAGTTTAAATTTTGGAACATGTGCTTATAAAGCATTTAAAGATAAAATGTTCTTTTCTCTAGAAGAAATAAGACAATTTGACTAATTTACAGTGAAGTCCCTTTAACCTGACCCTGGAGTTCCCCAGATCACTTTAAGAACGAACATATTAAATGTGACACTCTTTAACTTTGTCATTTCGCAATAATTGCTAAATAGTTATGTACATTTAAAGTGATTCTCGTCCAGTGATTAGAAAAAATGTCTTTCAATTTATCATCATCTCTTCGTCATGGGGGAAATCAGTATTAAATGTAAAATGTTATCTTTGTCATATCACGTGGTGTTTCCACCTATAAACTAAATAAGGTCTAACTAATAAAAAAATATTTTTGACTTTTGAAATGAAAAAGTGAAAATAACGAACAATAATCGATCTCAAAAAAATTATAAACAATACATTTCTGTGAAGAGGGCATAAAACACGGACCCTGGAAATTCCAGAGGTGGGATCAGGTGCCTAGGAGGAGTAAACATCCCCTGCTGACCGGTCACACCCGCAGTGCATTCATCAATGGTTTATATTGGCCTATAAAAAGCTAAGATTACAAATCGAGTAGTACAACTGTAGATTCCAATCAATTTACTGTAACTGCATTAAAAAACTCTTTAGTGAACTGTGTTCTTTATTATTATTATGTGTACTTTCCCTTTGTAAGGCTTTGTTATTGAAATACTCGAGTCTAAGATAGTAACGCCTTTGAAAAGTTGTGTGGTGTGTATGTGTGTGCTAAAATTGTTTTGATTTAATTTAGAAATAAATAATCAAAATACACTAAGGTGTTGGTATTTATATTATTACTGTTGTCAATTTTATGTCATTTGAATACGACTAGAAAGATTGGGAAGGAAATTCACAGTGAATATGTTGACATACATTATCAACATTAACCTAGAAATTGCTTTCTTTCAGAATATAAATCAGGAACTAAAGACAAAAAATTAAAATATTACATAAACACTAACTTCAGTGAAATATCAAAATTTAGTATGCAATTGAAGTTCAAATTATTGCAAATGAATCTCGAATGTCTGAACAGCTATGATTACTTTTGATGAATTAAAATAGTTTGTAAGTTGGTATCGTGCTTTGAGAATATCGTATTACATTCCATGTGTAGGAGTTAAAATATTGTATTCAATATGAAGGAGTTATAGTTTTACATCCAGTGTGACTACATGAACTTTGCTACTTAATATTTATGTTAAAAAATTCAGATCAGCGATAGACCCACAAAATAACACTTGAATGTTGTGTCATTGTAGAAGTATATAATGTCTCCATAGCACGTGTATCAAGCGCTCAGCTGATAAATAGGTTACTTGTTCAATGGAACTGTCAAGTACAACATAGAGAGAGATAGAACAAACAAATGAAGCTAATGGATTTATCGAAGTGAATTTTGTTAATTAACATGCTGAAGGTCATGGCCTAGGTATGTACTAGTAATAGGACGCTAATTGACCTAAAAACATGTAGATAACACACTTAATCTCACTGGTGCCAACTGTTCGATGTATATGTAAATATATAAAAATATATATTAAAAAGCTGTTTTGTTGTACAATTGATTGATCGTTTGTAGTTTTACGTCCATCGCAAGAATGTTTCACTCATATGAAAAGTGATTTCTGTACAGTATCTACTTCTGTACAATTACTCTATCTACTTCTGTACAATTACTCTATCTACCTCGGTACAATTACTCTATATATTTCTGTACAATTACTCTACTTCTGTACAATTACTCGATCTACTCATGTACAATTACTCAATCTCCTTCTGTACAATTACTACTTCTGTACAATTACTCTATCTACTTCTGTACAATTACTCTATCTTCTTCTGTACAATTACTCTATCTTCTTCTGTACAATTACTCTATCTTCTTTTGTCCAATTACTTTATCTAGCTTTGTCCAATTACTCTTTCTACATCTGTACAATTACTCTATCTACTTCTGTACAATTACTCTATCTACTTCTGTACAATTACTCTATCTACTTCTGTACAATTGCTCTATGTTCTTCTGTACAATTACTCTATCTTCTTTTGTACAATTACTCCATCTACCTCTGTACAATTACTTTATCTAGCTTTGTCCAATTACTCTATCTATATCTGTACAATTACTCTATCTACTTCTGTATAATTACTCCATATACTCATGTACAATTACTCTATCTCCTTCTGTACAATTACTCCAACTACTTCTGTACAATTACTACTTCTGTACAATAACTGATCTACTTCGGTACAATCACTGTACAATTACTCCATCTACATCTAAACAATTACTCTATTTACTTTTGTACAATTACTCTATTTACTTCTGTACAGTTACTCCACCTACTTCTTTACAATAACTCTAACCACTTCTGTACAATTACTTATTTACTTCTGTACAATTACTCTATCTACTTCTGTACAATTACTCCATCTGCTTCTGTACAATTACTTTATCTAGCTTTTTACAATTACTCTATCTACTTATGTACAATTACTCTATCTGCTTCTGTACAATAACTCTATCTTCTTCTTTACAATTACTCTATCTACTTCTGTACAATTACTCCATCTGCTTCTGTACAATTACTCCATCTGCTTCTGTACAATTACTTTATCTAGCTTTGTACAATTACTCTATCTACTTCTGTACAATTACTCTATCTACTTCGGTACAATAACTCTATCTACTTCGGTACAATAACTCTATCTACTAAGGTGCAATTACTCTATCTACTTTTAGAGCGTTTGACACTATTCACTGTCACGAGAGTATCACTCGGGGGATTCAGAAATATTGTGTGTTCGAACCACTTATTTCATTAAACAATTTTGCGAAGGATTTGCAAGTCTCTTGATGGGAAAAGAGTACCAATTAATTTCCCATAGAACCCTATTTCCCTTAGACCTTCTCTGTACTTCATTTTCAGACAAGTACTTGATATCATTTGAAACATCTTGAAAAAAATATGAGGTTCCATGGCATTTATTTGTCAAATTTGCAGTTGTAACTTGGAGCCATCTACCTAAAATAACACTCTTCCAGCTAGAATCAGCCCTCTCTCCTACAATATACCGATATTTGTATATTTTCTGCAATATTACCTCATTCCATCGTTTATTTCAAACACCGATATTTTGATTTCAAATGAAAATATGTGTATTTTCATACCTGAATTCATTTATCCAATTGCATAAGACCTTACTATTTAATTCTCTTCACAAGTGTAACATTTTAACCGATTTAAACATCGTGGGTTTGGTACTCTCACTGCTTTACGAGAACTCGTAATAGTGGAACCTAAAACAAATACAGATCTACAATGAACTTTGCATTGCAAAGATCTGCGATTTATGGGAGGATTGAATGTGAAATTTTTAACAACATTAAAAATCTGTTCTCAAGGAAACATGGAGGGAAAAATCAGCTTCTGAAGAGTACGTCGCTGCCTGAACATCCTCAAAGCAAAATGATCAAATACCATCACCAAATTATGTAATAGCAAAGGACAAACCAATACAATTAGGAAATCATAAGGTTGGATATCGTGACAAAATAGTAATGTCACAATACAAGCTCTGAAGTGGAATCCTGAAGGTCAACTCACAAAAGGAATGTAAACATAGTCAACTCACAAAAGGAATATAAGCATGGTCAACTCACAAAAGGAATATAAACATGGTCAACTCACAGAAGGAATGTAAAAAGAATGTAAACATGGTCAACTCACAAAAGGAATATAAAAAGAATGTAAATATGTCAACACACAAAAGAAATGTAAACATGGTAAACTCACAAAAGGAATGTAAACATGGTCAACTCACAAAAGGAATGTAAAAAGAATGTAAACATGGTCAACTCACAAAAGGAATGTAAACATGGTCAACTCACAAAAGGAATGTAAAAAGAATGTAAACATGGTCAACTCACAAAAGGAATATAAAAAGAAATGTAAACATGGTCAACTCACAAAAGGAATGTAAACATGGACAACTCACAAAAGGAATGTACGAGTAAACACGGACAACTCGCAAAAGGAATGTAAACATGGTCAACTCACAAAAGGAATGTACGAGTAAACATGGACAACTCGCAAAAGGAATGTAAACATGGTCAACTCACAAAAGAAATGTAAAAAGAATGTAAACATGGTCAACTCACAAAAGGAATGTAAACATGGTCAGAGAACTACGTCAGGCCTATGCTTGCAAATAAGGTTACGCTGGATAAGCTGCAGGGTTTTTGTGACTATCCTATGTACAGGCAAAAACTGGTCCAGCGAATTGGACAATATATGAGAATCCCCGCTATTTGACCTTTAGAGTAGTAAGATATTGTTAACATTGATCTTTGAGCTTTTAACAGACCAGTCAAATATATGTATTGTCGTTCAACAAGAATTATTTTGATTTTTGTTATTAAAGTCACTTAACTTTAACATTTATTGTTATTTGATATAAATAATTGCCATTTTCTACAGAAATGACATTGATCTTAAACTTTCTTCTGCTTTGTTGTTAGGTAGCCAATAACGGGCAATGTATTTAGTTAACATACTGTTAAGCTGAACGTCAGCATTACAAGCATGACCAAGATTGTAACATAAGTGAAGATTACAATACCCGTCTGTTTATCTCCATAACTCAAGTTTAGAG